GCAATTAGACGGTCAAAAGAAATCGAAGGGATATATATTGGAAAAGAAGAACTTAAATTAGCACTATTTGCTGACAATGATTCTATACCTAGAAGACCAAAAAAACTCCACCAGAAAACTTCTAGAACTAGTAAATGAATTCAGCAAAGTAGCAGGATATAAAATCAACACCCATAAAACAAAGGCATTTCTGTATATCAGTGACAAAGCCTCTGAGAAGGAAATGAGGAAAACTACCCCAATTTACATAACCTCAAAAAAAAAAATAAGATACTTGGCAGTCAACTTAATGAAAGAAGTGAAAGATCTATACAATGAAAACTACAGAACCCTAAAGAGAGAAATCAAAGAAGACCTTAGAAGATGTAAAGATCTACCTTGCAGAATTAATATTATCAAAATTACCATACTACCAAACGCATTGTACAGATTTAATGCAATTCCGATCAAAATCCCAATAGAAATAGAAAAAGCAATCACGAAATTCACCTGGAAAAATAAGAGACCCATAATAGCTAAAGCAATCCTTAGCAGGAAGAGAGAAGCAGGTGGCATCACTGTATAAGAAGTTAAACTATACTACAGAGAAATAGTAACAAAAACAGCATGGTATTGGCATCAAAACAGACTGGTAGACCAATGGTACAGAATAGAGGACACTAACCCACAAAATTACAATTATCTTATATTAGACAAAGGTGCCAAAAACATGCACTGGAGAAAAGATAGCATCTTCAACAAATGGTGCTGGGAAAACTGGAAATCCATATGCAACAAAAAGAAATTAAACCCCATGCACAAAACTTAACTCAAAATGGATCAAGGACCTAAGAATTAAACCAGAAACTCTGCATCTAATAGAAAAGTAGGCCCTAATCTTCATCATGTGGGATTAGGCCCCAACTTCCTTAATAAGACTCCTATAGCATAAGAATTAAAACCAAGAATGAATAAATGGGATGGAATTAAACTAAAAAGTTTCTTCTCAGCAAAAGAAACAATCTGTGAGGTGAATAGAGATCCTACCTCCTGGGAGCAAATTTTTATCCTTCACACATCAGATAGAGCACTAATATCTAGGATATATAAAGAACTCACAAAGCTAAGCACCGAAAAAACAAATAACCCAGTCAACAAATGGGGCAAGGACCTGAATAGACACTTCTCAGAAGAGGATATACAATCAATCAACAAATATAGGAAAAAATGCTCATCATCTCTAGCAATCAGAGAAATGCAAATCAAAACTACTCTAAGATATCATCTCACTCCAGTCAGAATGGCAGCTATTATGAAGACAAACAAAAATAAGTGTTGGTGAGGATGTGGGGAAAAAGGTACACTCATACATTGCTGGTGGGACTGCAGATTGGTGCAGCCAATATGAAAAACAGTATGGAGATTTCTTGGAAATCTGGGAATGCAACAACCATTTGACCCAGCTATCCCTCTCCTCAGACTATACTGAAAGGACTTAAAAACAGCATACTATAGGGACACAGCCACATCAATGTTTACAGCAGCACAATTCACAATAGCTAAACTGTGGAGCCAACTTAGATGCTCTTCAGTAGATGAATGGATTAAAAAATGTGGCATATATACACAATGGAATTTTACTCAGTAATAAAAGATAATAAAATCATGGCAGTTTCAGGCAAATGGTTGGCCTCAGAGAAGATAATGCTAAGTGAAGTTAGCCAATCCCAAAAAAACAAATGCGGAATGTTTTCTCTGACATAAGGAGGCTGACACATAGTGGGGTAGGGAGGGGAAACATGGGAGGAATAGATGAATTCTAGATAGGGAAGAAGTATTGGAAGGACAGGGAGGAGGCAGTGGAGTAGCAAGGATGGTGGAATGTGATGGACATCATTATCCAAAGTACATGTATGAAGACACGAACTGGGTGTCAACCTACTTTATATACAGAGATATGAAAAAATGTGGTATATATGTGTAATAAGAATTGTAATGCAAAAAAAAGTACATGTATAAAGACATGAATTGGCGTGAATATGCTTTATATACAAAGATATGAAAAACTGTGTTCTATAGTGTAATAAATTGTAATGCATTCTGCTGTCATGTACTTAAAAAATAAAATCAATTAAATAAAAAACTAAAAAAAATATTAATTAAATGATCTGAAAAATTTTGTGAAACTTAAGTGCATCTTTTTCCAGATTTAAAGAACTCACCATATTCTAGAACAATACATGGAAAAAGATCCATATGAGGGCACATTATCATGAAATTTCAGAACAAAGGGTCAAGGAGAAAATTCTTTTGTCTTCCACAGAGTAATAGTTTTTTTAAAATTATCAGTCTGGAAATCTACATCTAGTACAACTGTAGGAGTTGGCTTTTCATTGCTGAGACCAAAATACACAACAAAAACAACTTGGAGAAGAAGGTTATTTTGGGCTTATGGGTTGAGAGATTCTTTCAATTGACTCTTATTGTTCTGGGCCCAGGGTAACTCAGGACATCATGACAGAAAGGCATTGTGGAGAAAAGCTACTCAGCTCCTGACAGCCAGGAAGGAGAGGAGAGGAGAGGAGAGGAGAGGAGAGAAGGAAAGAAAGAAAAAAGGAGAGAGAGGAGACGAGGGGAGGGGAGAGTAGGGGAATGAAGGGAGGGGGAAGGGGAAGAAGACATAAAGTGTGTGCAAGAGAAAATGCAAGGAGCCAGAAACAAAATAATCCTGAAGGATACACACCCAGTGACCTATTTCCTCCAGTCATACTCTACCTGCCTGTCATTACCATACAGTAGTTCTTTCAAATTATTACCAATCAAATGGATTAATCCACTGTGAGGTTACTGTGCTTGTAATCTAATCACTTTACCTCTCAACATTTCTGCACAGCTCAACACATCATCTTTTGGGGGGACGCCTTGTATTCAAAACATAACAACAATAATTTTCAAAGATGAAAGCAAAACCAAAGACTTTTTAGGTATAAAAAGCAGAAATAACTAGCTACTAGTGTAGCCAAAGTATAAGAAATGTTAAAGAAAGTCCCTTAGGGAGAAGAAAAATAATACCAAATAAAAAACTGGGTCTACAGAGAGGAATAAAGAGTACTACAAAAGTAACTACTAAGGTAAATACATAGTTTTTTTTATATTAAAAACTTCTAAAAAGTTAGTTCTTTAATCAGAATAACAACAATGTTTTGTGGTGTTTATTACATATATAAAAGTAAAATTGGGCTGGGGATGTGGTTCAAGTGGTAGCGTGCTCACCTGGCATGCATGGGGCTCTGGGTTCGATCCTCAGCGCCCTGTGCATGCCAGGTGAGTGCACTACCGCTAAAAAATCTCTCTCTCTCTCTCTCTCTCTCAAAAAAAAAAAAGTAAAATTATCTCTGTTCACACTTGATATAATTCATATGTTGAAATTCTAAAGATTCCATTAAAAATCTATTAGAATAAACACAATTCTCAACATAGCTGGCTATAAAGTCACCACAAAAATTAGTTGCACTTCAAAACATACTACAAAACTACAAAAGTATAATTAGAATTAACTAAAGAAGTTATACAAAGACTTACATAATGAAAACAACAAAACATTACTGAAAGAAACCTGAGATGATAATAAATAGAAACACTTTCCATGTTCATGGATTAGAAGACTTAATATTGTTAAAGTGTCATTATTATCCAAAGTGATCTATAGATTCAATGCAATTCCTATTAAAATCCAAAAGCATTTTTTGTAGAAACAGAAAAATTCATTCTAAAATCCATATGGAATGTCAAAGGACCCCCAAAAGCCAAAACAATTTTAAGAAAGAACAAAAAAGCAAGAGGACTTGAAAACATACTACAAAACTACAATAACCCAAACAGTATGGTGCTGGCATAAAGACAGACATATAGACATGCCTGTAATTGCAGTAACTAGGGAGACTGAGGCAGGAGGATTGCAAGTTTGAGACCAGTCTAAGCAACTTAGTGAGACTCTGCTCAAAATAAAAAGAGCTCAGTATGCAGGTGAATCACAAAGAGCCCGTGGGTTCAATCTCCAATACATCCCCCTCAAAAAAAGACAAACACACAGACCTATGAAATAGGGAAGACTGGAAATAAACCTTGCATTTATGTTTGAGTGATGTTTGTTTGTTTCTTGGTTTGTTGGTTTGTTTTGGTACTGGGGAGTGAACCCAGGGGCACTGGGGAATGAACCCACTAAGCCACATTCTCCAGATCTTTTTTATTCTAAGACACAGTCTTGCTAAATTGCTGAAGGCCTTGCTAAGTTGCTGAGGCTTTCTTTGAAACTGAGAGTTCTCCTACCTCAGCTTCCTGAGTCACTGGGATTACAGGTGTGCACCACCACACCCAACTGTTTGAATGAATTTTTAATAGACCTTTATTTTATTTTATATGTGATCCTGAGAATTGAACCCAGGGCCACACATGTCCTAGGCAAGTGCTCTACCACTGATTCACATCTCCAGCCCTGTTTGAATGATTTTTGACAAGGGTACCAAGTCTACTCAATGGGAAAAAATAATCTCTTCATAAACAGCTAGTAAAATTGAATATCTATATGTAAAAAATTAAGTCAGACTAACATCATACACAAAAATTAATTCAAATAGATCAAATACTTAAATGTAAGTCTTAAAACAACAAAACTGAAGAAACAAGGAAAAGACTTTATGACATTTGATTTAGCAACGATTTCCTGCATATGACACCAAAGGTACAAACTACAAAAGAAAAAATAAACAAATTAGACTTTAAGAAATTTAAAAACTTTTGCTCATCAAAAGATTCTGTCAGAAAAATAAAAAGGAAACACACAGAACTGAAGAAATGTTCGGAAAACTGATAAGGGGTTCTTTCTTCTTTTGACACATGTAAATGATGTTACCCTTAACTGAATTAAAAGTTTCCTCCAAGTAACTCATATACAAAATATCTCATATACAAAATAGAACAATAATTTTTCCAGTAATTGCAGAAAAAATTGAAAATGTTACCTCATTTGAAGAATTTTCTGGCAAATTTGACACAGGAACAATTTCATCTGAGTTTACATAATTGCTGATATTTGGAAAGAGTTCTTCAAAAGGTGCCTTTTGTACTGAAGACAAATTAATCTATAAAAGATTATGTTACTGTTTCAGAGAGGTTTCAAAAACAATTATTTCTAAGCAATTAAAATAAAGTTATAAATGCTATCTTATTGGAAGCATTTTCTTATGAACTTGACAAATGAACAATTTTATCTGAATGAATATAATTACCAACTTTTGGCATGCTTAAGATTATGTTACTCTTTTGATTTAAACTTATTTTCAAACAAGAATTTTTATTTGCTGTACTATACTTTTCCCCATTAATTTGTTCAATAAATATTCATCAAATGCTTACTAAGTAAAATTTGATGACCTGGCAACTGTACCTTCTGGACACTTCTACTCCTAGGTATATATACCAAAGAGAAATAAAAAGATGTCCACACAAAAGCTTTTACACAAGTATTTATAAAAACATTATTTATAATAGTCATAGATGGAAACAACTAAAGCTTCCATTAACACAATTTCTATCAACACAATGGAATATTACTCAGTCAGGAAAAGGAATGATGTACTGAAACAAGCCGGTATATGGATGAAACCTAAAAATACTATGCTAAGTGAATTAGTCACAAAAGATAATATATTATATTATTCCATTTATATGAAATGTCCAGAACAAGAAAACCTACAAATACAGAGGGCAGAGAAATGGTGTGGGAAAGCAAGGGGATGTTACGTAAAGGAAATGAGGTGTCTTTTTTGAGGTGATAAAAAAATGTTCTAAAAGTGATTGTGGGAATGATAGCACATATCTATACATATACTAAAATCTACTGAATAACAAATTTTTTAAAAATATTTATTTTTTAGTTATAGGTGCATATCATATCTTTATTTTATATTTATGTGGTGCTGAGGATCGAACCCAGTGCCTTACTACACACACTAGGCGAGCCACAATCCCAGCCCTGAATACCACATTTTAAATAAGTGAATTGTAGTTTGTTCATTATTGCTCAAACTGATTTTCTTAAATATTTTTAAGCTGTAGTTGGACATAATACCTTTATTTATTTATTTATTTATTTATTTTTTTAATGTGGTGCTGAGGATCAAACCCAGTGCCTCGAATGTGATAGGCAAGCACTCTGCTGCTGAGATTCAACCCTAGCCCCTGCTCAAATTTTTTTAAACAGCCCACTAAATAAAGTGTTAAACATATAGTTATCATATGAGCTAGCAATTCTATGACTTCCAGATATACACTCAACACAAATGAAAACATATACTCATAAAACATACATAAATGTTCATAACAGTATTATTCATGATAGATAATAAGTTAAAATAACCCAAACGCCCATAGACTAAATCAGTAAACAAAATGTGGTATATATCCAGAGACTGTGATATTATTTGATGAAAGAAAAGGAATGAAGTACTGAAAAATGCCATAATATAGATGAATTTTAAAATATTATGCCAAGTAAAAGTGGCCAGGCACAAAAGGCCACATTTTCCATGACTCTATGAATTAATATCTAGAAAGGGCAAATGTATAAAAGACAGTAAATTAGAAGCTTCTAGACAGTCCCTAGCAGCTAAAGGGAAAGATGGGGGAATAAGGAGTAACTGCTAAAATGTGGTAATAAAATGAATTACATTGAATTATATTATAGGGATGGTTGTATCACAACTATGCTTAAAAACACAATTATATACATTATAGCATGGTAAATTTCATAAAATGTGAATTATAGTTTTTAAAGATCTTGGCATTTATAAAATTGACACTAACTTAGTTTTATAAGGAAAATTCATTTTGGGTACACTTATTCCTCATCTACACATTCTCTCTCTCCCTCCCCCTGTTCCTCTCTCTCTCTCTTTCTTGTTGATACTGGGGATCTAACCCAGGTGTACTTTACCACTAAGCTGTATTCCCAGCCCTTTAAAAATTTTTTTTTTTATTTTGAGACAGGGTCTCACTAAGTTGCTGAGGCTGGCCTTGAACTTTGCAATCCTTCTTTCTCAGCTTCCCAAGTCACTAGGATTACAGGAGTGGGCCACCATGCCTGGCTCACGTACACATTTTTTTTTTAAAGTTGTAGATGGATACAATACCTTTATTTTATTTATTTATTTTTATGTGGTGTTGAGGATCTCACCCAGTGCTTCACACATGGTAGGCAAGTACTCTATCACTGAATATCAACCAAGAATAAATTTTAAAAATAAAACACTCATTTTTTGAAAAACAAATTACTTTTTAGAACATTAGAAAAACTGTGAGCAGAGTATTATCAAAACCCTTTCCTCCAGCATGATCTTTAACTGTGTTCCCCTAGGAGCCTGCTAAGAGTAAGAATGTCAACTCTGTTACTAGGCAGCATTACTTATGGTAAAAATGATATCTGATCATGAACTTGTATGTCTGGAACAAACTATAGATGCAGTACGAATAATAAATACTATAAAAGATGCCATGGGTTTTTCTGGGAGCTGTAACTCGTATAATTAGGCATGTCTCTGTGGAGAACTGAGAAGCTACCTATGTATTTTGTTATAAAAGATACTGTCTCATTCCCTTGACCAGAGCTGTCCCCATACTGCTATATAAGCCGCTACATCAAATTTTTGGTGGTTATTTTAGTATTGAAGATTGAACTCAGGGGCACTCAACCACTGAGCCACATCCCCAGCCTTTGTTTTTTCTTTGTATTTTATTTAGAGACAGGGTCTCACTGAGTTACTTAGTGCCTTGCTAAGTTGCTAAGGCTGGCTTTGAACTTGCAATCCTCCTGCCTTAGCTTCCCAAGCCACTGGGATTAAAGATGTACGCCACCGCTCCCAGCTTTACACAGACTTTTGTTAGGACTGCTACCATTGTGGAGAAACACCTGCTGCTGCCCTGCTAGCAAGTTGTATTTCTATTGCTCAGTTGTACCTAAGAAGAATAGATTAGGTAATAGCTAAATTTATAAAACTGTTAGAGGTAAACATAGGATAAAGACTTCATGACATTAAATTTGGTAATTTTTCCGATAGAACACCCAAAGCACAGGCCAACAAAGGACAAAGTTGATTAATTGGACTGCATCAAAATGAAAAACATTTGTGCCTCAAAGAACACTACCAACAGAATAAAAAGGCAACTCATGCAATGAGAAAAATATTTTCAAACCATATATCCAATAATGGGTAAAATCCAAAATATACAAAGAATTCCTACAACTGAACAATGAACAACCTGATTTAAAAATGAACAAAGGATTTGCTTCTGTTTTATTTTTTAAATTTTTTGTAGTTGTAGATGGACAGCATGCCTTTATTGTATTTGTTTTATGTGGTGCTAAGGATCAAACCCAGTGTTTCACACGTGGTAGGCAAACACTCTGCCACTGAGCCACAATCCCAGCCCATGACAAGAGAGTTGAACAGATATTTCTTCAAAGAAGATATACAAATGATCAATAAACAAATTAAAAGATACTAAATATTAATAATCTTTAGGAAAATGCAAATCCAAAGCAGAATGAAATTCTATCTCATACCCATAAGGTTAGCTATTATAAAACACACACACATATACACGCACACACAGCAGGAAAAAAGAAGTGTTGGTAGGAATGTGGAGAAATTAGAACCCTTGTGTACCAGTAATGGAATTGTAAAATAATACAGACATATGGAAAACAGTGTGGTTGATACTCAAAATATTAAAAATCAAATTACTACAAAATCCAGAAATATTCCTTCTGAACAGGTACCCAAATGGGACTCAAATGGATATATGTACATTCATGTTCATAGTAGAATTATTGACAATAGTCAAAGGCAGAAGCAAAACAAGTGTTCATTGATGCATGAATGGATAAACAAAATGTGATATGTATATACAATGGAACATTACTCAGCTTTAAGTAGGGAAAAATTTCTGACATATTCTACCACACAGGTGAACCTGAAGACATTATGCTAAGTAAAATAAATCAGTCACATAAGGACAAATACTGATGGGTACAGTGGCACATGCCTATAGTTCTATAGAGTTGAGGTAGAAGGATCACCTGAGCCTAGAAGTTTGAGGCCAGCCTGGGCAACATAGCAAGACCCCATCTCCAAAATCAAACAAAAGAACAAACAGTTTATGAATTCTATATGAGGTACTAGAGTAGTCAAGTTTATATAGACAAAAGGTAGAATGGTGGTTGCCAGGGGCCAAGCAAGAAACAGGGAATTACTGTGTGATTGGTATGAAGTTTCAGTTTTGCAAGATGAAAAAGGTTCTAGAGATGGATGGTGGCAATGACTGTACAACAATGTGAACTTACTTGTTTATTTACTCATTCTTATCAGCTCAATTCACAATAGCTAAGCTATGGAACCAACCTAGGTGCCCTTCAGCAGATAAATGAATAAAGAAAATGTGGTACATATATACAATGGAATATTACTCAGTCATAAAGTATGATATTATGGCAATTGCCGGTAAATGGATGGAACTAGAGACAATCATGTTAAGTGAAATAAGCCAATCCCAAAAACCCAAAACCACCATTCTACCTTTTGATATGCAGATGCTAACTCTCAACAGGTGGGGAGGTTCACTGGATTGGACAGGGGGGTGTAGGGAGAAGGGATGGGGAATGGGAAAGGGAAAGATAGTAGAATGAATTGAACATTACATTCCTATGTTCATACATGAATACACAACCTTTGTAAATCCATATCATGTATAACCACAAAAATGTGAAGTTGTACTTTATGTATATATGATATATCAAAATACATTCTACTGTCATGTATAGCTAAAAAGAATTAAAAAATTAATAAAAGTAAATCATGCTTAAAATTCTAAATTTTATGTTACATATAGTTTACAATAGAAAGTATAATTCTGGTTGATACTATAGCATTCTAAGCTTTCTCCTTTACTTATATAAGCAGGATATACAGCATTTTCAATGAAATCATGTTTTGCAACAGAATAATATAGACATTATTCTCTATAGGTAATATTCCTCTGGTGTGACAAAAATAGAAGAATGGGGAGAGGAGGAGCAAGAAAATTGATTCCACAAGTGCCAAAAGCTAATACTTACCATGAAATCAGCTGTCTCTGAAGATGGAGTACTTGTTAACAGGCCTCTGCTTTTCTTATCAGGAGTACTTGAATTTGTTTTCTATAAATGTTTATAAAATAGGGGATTGAATAGTAAAAAAAAAACCAAACCATTTTAGTATAGTAAAATCAAAATTTAAAGTTAGTAGACTAGATCATAATGTGTAATACCAATAAAATCTTTTATTTGCTAATTAAATTTTAAACCATTTGAAGGAAACAAAAGAATTTTCTGGCTTGAGCTAGGTTGTTCAATTTCCAAGAGAACTCTATATGGCATGACAACCATATGGGAATACTTTAGTTGGAATTACTATTAATTTAGGAAGAGAAGCTAATTAGAGCGGTGAATTAGTAAACAGTGCTTTGGTTACCTTTGTTAACTGCTGAAAAAGTATTTCACTTTCAGTGAAATTTGTTTAATTTCTAGTATATTATTATATTTTTTGTGAAAAAATATTATAAATTATTCCTGAAACTGTTAAAACATTTAAGTAGTAGCAAGGATAATTGGTTTAAAATATACGTTTAAATGTAAATAGATACTTTCATTGATAGAACAAAGTTAAAAAAATTACAAAATAATATGCAGATTCATTTTCTATTTCTTAAAGATGCAGAGGCAGACAGACAGGTGAACCAAGTAAAAAAGTCTAAAAGAGCAAGGAGAGAAAGGAAGACATTAAGATTCAAGAGCTAAAGAGAGTGAGAAGAGGAGGGAGGACCTGAGAATAAGAGAGGGAGGAGAAGAGGGGAGTGGTGAGAGGGAAGGAAGAGAGGAAAGAAGGAGGAAATGGAAAAGACAGAAAGATTGAAAGAAAGAACGAGGGAAAGAGAAGAGACAGACACCAACAGACTGGGATCAGAAAGAGACGAAGAGACAGCCCCAGGAGGAGGGCAGCAGGGAGAACACCTATACTATGGATAGGAAGGAGAGAGGGAGCTTGAAGCTGAAAGAACACAGGACATCAGACACAAAGAAGCAAGCATGAAGGCAGAGCTGAAACAGGAAGTTTTATTTATAGCAATCAGCTGTTTTCCAACCCTCGAGTTCCAAGAAACAATCAAGTCCTGATAAATCACACTTTTGGGGTTCGTGACTATTATTTGATGTCAAGTCTGGAACCCAAACTCAGAGATAAAACTTGAAAATCATAAGATTTTGTGATAGAAAAGATAAGGAAAGAGAAACCTATCACAAAGAATGTTAGAAAAGATAAGGAAAGAGAAACCTAACATTCTTCTGTCTTAAAATCTCTTAAACTAGTTGTCAGTTCCAAACATAACCAAGAATAGAATATAGGGAAAGTTTTTATGAAAAAAATTTAACAGTATATTTACCTGGAGAATATGCCAGCTTTCTAATTTAGCAGCTATGTAATATTTAATTTCTTCATCTAAACAATGAAGATTACTCTGAGATTTGTGAACAAGTATCGTAAATAATATATGTAAAGAGAACTTGTGGGGTTTAGAGAGTAAGAGAGACTCAGTGATAGCTATCATCATCATTACAGCAAACTTGGAGGTGCTTTGCTCAGATCTCCTTGAACAAAGAACCTGCTGTTACAATGCAAGAAGTGCATTTGGCTGATATCCTCCAGCTGCAATATCTTAGGATCTATTTCACTTGCAAGCTGAGGCCCCCATTTTCTCTGGCCATCTCCAGCCAGTGTCTAGCAGCCAATATAGACTTTTGTAATGCAAAATCTTTGCTCCAGAATTCTTCATTGGGAGAGCTTTTATCACATTTGCATAGAGGACAAAGGCTATCACTGCCCAATCCTGATTCCTCCTGCTTTTTTTTCTTAGGTATTACCCTTGCCAATAAGCCACTTGAATGCTTAATTCTGTCTCAGTATCAGTTTCCCATTGGTCCCTATGACACAAATGTCAACTGTCAGTGGAATAAAGTAGAAGACACGGAGACACACCCACGTAAATACAGCTGATACTAGACAAAGGTGTCAAAAACATATGTTGGAGAAAAGATAGCCTTTTAAACAAATAGTGCTGAGAAAACTGGAAATCCATATGTAAAAGAGTGAAATTTAACCCCTATCTCTCACCCTGCAAAAAAGTCATTTCAAAGTAGATCAAATAACTAGGAATCAGATCAGAAATTCTACATTCACTAGAAGAAAATGTAGACCCCATATTCTAACATGTTGGCTCAGGAACCAACTTCCTCAACAAGACTCCTAAAGTATAAGAAGTAAAATCAAAACTCAATAAATGGGATGGCATCAAATTAAAAAGCTTCTTCACAGCAAGAGAACCAATTAAGAGCACGAAGACAAAGCCAATAGAATGGTAGAATATCTTTGCTCCCTGCTCCTCAGATAGGGCATTAATATCCAGGATATACAAAGACATCAAAAAAAACTTAACATAAAAAACCCCACAAATAACGCAATCAATAAATAGACAAAGGAACTAAACAAATGCTTATCAAAAGAAGAAATACAAATGGTCAACAAATATATGAAAAGATGTTCAACATCTCTTGCAATTAGAGAAATGCAAATTAAAACTATATTGAGATTTCATCTTACTCCACTCAGAATGGCAATTATCAGGAATACAGTTATCAATAAATGTTGGCAAGGATGTGGGAGAAAAGGTACACTCATGCATTTTTGATGGGACTGCAAATTGGGAGTTCAACCAGTCTGCAAAGCAATATGGTGAATGCTCAAAAAACCAGAAATGGAGCTACCATATGACCCAGCTATCCCACTCCTCAGAATCTATCCAAAGGATTTAAAATCAACATACTACCATGATCATGCAGCCATATCAATATTTATCACAGCACAATTCACAATAGCCAAGCTATGGAGCCAACCTAGGTGCCTTTCAACAGATGAATGAATAAAGAAATGTGGTATATATATACAAAATGGAGTATTGCTCAGCCATAAAAAAAGAATGACTTTATGGCATTTGCCAGCAAGTGGATGGAACTTGAAACTATCTTGCTGTGTGAAATAAGCCAGTCCCCAAAAGTCAAAGGTAGAAAGTTTTCTGTGATATGTAGAACCTAATCCAAAAGAAGGGGGAAGGATCAAAAAAAGAGAATAGAAGAAAGATCAGTAGAGTACACAAAGGGTAATGAAGGGAAGAGAGGAGGGAGGTGATAAAGAAAGACAGTAGAATGAATCTGACCTAAATTTCCATGTACTTTTATATGAATATACCACAGTAAATCGATTGTGATGTCAATCCACAAGACACTAATTTTAAAAAACTGTAAGTAAATAGCAGAAAGATGAGTACAAGGAAAGAAGCAGGAGGAGAAAGGAGGAAGGGAAGGAGGAATACTGGGGACTGAATTAGAACAAATTATATTCTGTGTTTTTATAATTATGTCAAAATGAATTCTATTGTCATAAATAACTAAATAGAACCAATTAAAAATATTTGAGTGTGGGCTGGGGTTATGGCTCAGCGGTAGAGTGCTTGCCTAGCATGTGCAAGGTGTTGGGTTCAATCCTCAGCACCACATAAAAATAAATAAAATAAAGGTATTATATCCAACTACAACTAAAAATATATTGTAAAAAAATATTTGAGGGTGAGGAGGGGATACAGGGGCAGGAGACATGGTGGAATGAGATGGACATCATTACCCTAAGTACATGTATGATTACACATATGATGCGACACTACATCACGTAAAACCAGAGAAATGAAAAGTTGTGCTGCAATTGTGTACAATAAATCAAAATGCATTCTGCTGTCATATATATCTAATTAAAATAAATAAATTAATGAAAAATTTGAAAAGCAGAAGATACATAAATGACCAATAAGTATATGAAAAATGTTTACCATTTCCAGTTGTCAGAAAAATGCATAGTCAAGCCACAGTGAGGGATTACCTCAACTTACTTGAATGGCGAAAGTTAAAAAGACTAACAGTGTCAAGTGTTGGTAAGGATGGCAAGCAGCTGGAATCCTTGGATGCTGATGATGGGAATGCAGATTAGAAAACAATATGGTAATGTCTATAAGATGAATATAATTTTGCCATGCAACTTAGCAATCCAAGACACAAATTCTTGGTGTCTGTTGAGGAGCTATGAAATGTCCATACATGCTTTTATGTGCATGTTCTCATTAGTCTCATTAGTACTATTCATAGTATTTCCAACCAGACACAACCTGATCAAGGTGTATCTGTGTTATGGAATACTACTCAACAATAACAAGAACAAAATATTAATACATAAAAATATCTGTTGACTTTAAGAAAACTTTGAAAAGTCAAACTACAGTAAAGAGGTCAAACTCCAAAGACTAAAGGCTGCCTGAATCATTTAATGAAATTTTATAATTGGTAAAAACTAGTGATAGGAAGAAAATCAATGACTCCCTAACCTTGGAGTTGGTTGACTGCATTAACTACAAAGGAGTCCCAGAAAAACTTGCCAGTATGGTGGTGATGTTTTTTAAGTAATGAAGGTGGGCTGGGATTGTGGCTCAGCGGTAGAGCACTTGCCTAGCATTCGCGGGGGCCCTATGTTCAATCCTCAGCACCACATAAAAATAAATGAATGGAATAAAGGTATAAAAAAAGTAATGAAGGTAACAAGGTTTATGCAGTTACAAAACTTAATCACTCTACAGTTATATGACCCATAAATTATTGTAATTAATTTGTAAAAAAAAGTATAAATTGTACTGTAATAAAGTAAAAATGTTTAAAAAACAAAAATTAATGCATTTTATTTTTAGGAATAGTTTTGGATTCATAGCAAAACAGCAGAAGTTTAGAGTTCTCACATACTTGTTCCCATGTATGTAAACCCCTTTCACTGTCAACATCTTGCACAACAGCAATATGACTGTTATAATTAGTACTCTGAGATATCATTATTATCTAAAGTTCATAGTTTACCTTAAGGTTCATTCTTAGTGTATGTTCTCTTGGTTTTGACAAACGTATAACATGTGTTCGCCATACAGCATCATACAGAATAGTTTGCCCTAAAAAATCTTCTATATATCTATTCAACCCTACCTTCTCCAACCCTTCTCAACCATTAATATTTTTAT